CGCCTGGACATAATGTTGGTGGCGGCGGCGGTGGAGGTGGGGGCTGGGGAGGCGGACAGACGCCCGCGCAAACTGGGTGGGGCGGTGCGACGCCCGGTCAGCCGGCCAGCAGCTCGCGTAGCGGTGGCTTCGGCGGTGCGACACCTGGACGACCTGCAGCAACTGGCGGAACGGGATGGGGAGGTGCAACGCCTGGGCGTCCGGCGGCGGCAACTACCGCTTCATGGGGCGGCGCGACGCCCGGCAGGCCGAGTGCTGATACTGCGGCTACGGGCGGCGGTGGTGGATGGGGCGCGACGGCTTGGGACGCTGCACCTACGCCCGGCGCTGGGACATGGGCCGCGCCGACGCCCGCCGCGGCACCCACCCCTGCACCCTCGGGCGGCGCATGGAACGCCAAGACGCCCGCTGCGTGGGGAAGCGGTGCGCTGAGCGCCGAGACGCCCGCCGTGAGCGGTGCATTCGGCGATGACCCCGCGTCGAACGAGCTCTCGAAGGAGTGGATCCTCGACACGGACTTTGCCGAGAACAGGAAGGGCCTGCGCGTTAAGATCCAGAACACGCGCGGGGACGAGCCCGGGTACGAGGAGTGGTTCGAGGGCGAGATGGAGGGGAAGGAGGGAAGGGTCCTCGGTGCGCTGCGCGTGGCGAAGGAGTTCCAGCAGGTGGCTAGTGTGCTGCTTGACGGCAAGACGCTGTCGGTGCCGGTCGAGTACCTCAAGCCTATACAGCCGCGGAAGGCAAACGGGAGGGCGCTCGTGCTGGGCGGCGGGTTCAAGGGCAAGATCGTCACGCCGAAGGACCGCGGGGGCGGGCAGTGGCTCGTGCAGTTCGATAATACGCTCGAGGAGGTCGCGAACGAGCTGCTGTGCATCTGGGAGAACCCGGATGCGCCGTTCGAGCCGTAGTCGCGCTCTTTCTTTCATCTTCGTTTCTTGTCTGTCAAATGTACTGTACTGGCTTTACCTATATTTTGTCCATATGCATGCTTTCATTAGTACTCCCATCCACACGGATCTACGTGCGTCACTAGTACAAAGTGCGAACAGGTCCACGATATGTGTGGTTGAACGTTTCTGTGATTACATCATCAAGTCGTTGGTAGCGCCGGCTGATTCGTACGGCGAGAGGGACTTCTCAAATATGTATCTACTGGTCCAAATATGTGGGCAGTGGACAAGCCGGTTCTCGGATGCTCGGCGCGAGTTGAGTCCGCGTGGAGGACCGTGCGAAAACGGTGACCGCTCTCAACACGGGCGTCTCGCCGGAATTGTCTGCTTGCTTTCCGACCCCCATTGCGACACAGGATCATACGCGAGGTTCTTCTGTAGAGAGGTCTCCATGTAATATATGCCGAAGTCGCATTCGTTTCTCCACTTTCATCGACCAATCCGACCTTTCTGCCAGTCGTGGAGCGTCTCAAATCACACAAATCGCCACCTAGAAGGGTCCCTACCTCAGAACAGCGCAAGTTTAGGTGCCTGCTACCGACACATAGATCGAAATCCAGCATCAAGATTTATAGACTTGGGCACCGCAGCTATCGTCAGTTGCCTATGCTGCGAGAAAACGCCATACCTGTCGATCATTCGCCACAACAGCGACCGCTAAGCACACTCAAATCCCGGCACATACATACAGCCGACGCGCTAAAGCACTTGATTTTCTTTCCGTATGTTCGACGGGCTAATCGCAACGCCAAGTGGTGACAGCGGATCGCAAATGTGCCGTAATGGCGGACCATTTAAGTGCGCTTGTCGTCAACTTGTACTCGCAAACAGTAGCAAACCCAATGTCAATCAACGGTACAAGATAAATGCATTCCGATCCGCAGCTAGTCAAAGTGGATGGCTTCATTCAGTACTTATAACCTTCAAGCATCTTTACGGTCGTCCGCGGCCCCCTAAACAGTACCTTGACGAACCTTCTGCTTGTTGGCGGCGACGCGCGCCCGCGCGAGGCTGAGCGATGGGGAAGCCCGTCGACCCTTCCTATCCGCTATACCCCATCGCCTGCGTCTTCGCCGCAACGGGCCTATTCCTCGTGCTCCTCGTCTCTTTTATCCGCTCAAGATGGAACCTTGGAGTCTCCTTCCTCTGCTTCTGGCTCTTCTTGGAGGACATCACCTTTGCGGTCAACTCCGTTGTCTGGGCCGATAACGGGGATATCAAGCACTTGGTGTACTGCGACCTCGGTACGAGACTGACTCTGCCAGACCTCGATAGTCACTGATACTCCCACAGCATCACACCTCCAGACTATCTGCTACGTTGTCAAGCCCGCCGCAACACTCATCATGACACGACGATTATATCTAATCGTCACTTTCCGCGACATGGACATGCGCACTACCCTGGTGCGTCCCCATCCCTCCCCCTTGCTCAGAGGTTTCTGATCGTGACGGTGTTAGAGGCGGTCAGACGTGGCCATTGAATGGTTCTTGGGTCTCGGTTTGCCTCTTCTCATTGCGGGACCTCTCTGTAAGTCGCCACTCGCGGGTGTGGTACCTAACTGCTGACTCTGTTCCGTCCAGACTATATTGTACAGACTAGACGTTTCACGATTCTCGAGGGTTTCGGGCCTAGCGGATCCAGTTCACACACAGTACTCGCCATCCTACTCTTTTATCAATGGAGCATCTCTCTCCCTCTCATCTCAATCATCTTTTATTTCCGTGAGTACTACCTTTAAATCAAACGACCTGACATATCTGACCTTCGGAAACCAAATCAGCGAAAGTGGTCTGCATCTTCTACCGCCAAAACCGGGACATCAGCAACTTCTTCCTCCGCAGCAACAGCGCCAGCTCTCACTCCCGTGCCAGCTACACCCGCCTCTTTGCCCTCGCAAGCATCGACATGCTCGTCACCTTCCCGGTGGGCATCGTCAATGTAGCGCTGATCATCGTCCGGAACCTGCACTCGCAACGCAGCCTGCCCTTCTACGACGGTTGGGGCGCTACACACGCGGACTTCGCACCACTGAGCAGCCCATACTCCGACGTGCTGGCCAAAGGCCGATCCGGGCTCGCACAGTTCTACTTCTCAAACTGGGTCACGCCCGTGCTGTCCTTCGTCATCTTCGCGCTATTCGGCTGCACCCCGAATGCGCGCGAAGCGTACATGGTCGTTATACGCTGGTTCGGCGACTTGCTGCGCATCCGTCCGCTCATTCGTAGGCGGCGGCAACGGCTCAAGCACCAAGCCGCGGTCCAGGATAGGGCAAGAGCGCGACGGGGGCGAACTAGCTCATCTGCGAGGGAAATCACTCTCGACTCTGAGTTGCAATGGTACGCATATCGTATCTTCTCGTCTCGCCTACAACAACCACTGGTCTGACCGCTTCCTGATGTACAGGACCCACGAGTTAAGCTTTGCAGGCTTGGAGCTGACTGCGCCCGCTGGTCGGAGTGCAGACACCAAGCAAAAGCACAAGCAGGAACCTACGCGCAAGTCCGAGGACTCTGGGCTCGACGCTATCAAGGTTTACACCGATTCGGGGTGCGTCATCTGTTCTCCTGTCTTAATTTGCTCTCCACCTCACATCTTCGCTTCCTGTCATGATGACAGGGACTCGAGCGCTGCCCTGGATCTGCCAAAGTCCGATCCTGATTCGAAGGCGGAAGTATGATTCCGCCGGGTTGCCAACAACGCTTTTCGATGGACTGTTATGATAGTCGCCGAGTATGGCCGTATTCACAGATTTCTTCGCATGTCTGTACCATTTGCTACCGCAGCCTCTGTCACTATCTTGGGTTTTATGCCATTCATGGGCGTACATACAAAAATACAACATAAATCATCAAATAAATTAGTCCGACATCTCGTCACCCGACCCATCCCTTTCCTCGCCAGTCGCTTTCCAGCGTACATCCGACACCAGGCCTTGTAGCATACTTGCATGCCCATGTTCCGTCTGATCCATTCGCGGTTGCTTGATGATATCGAGCCGAAGTGTGCTCAGCTGACGAGCACTGAGCGCGGCGCGACTCCGTATCATGGTCGACAAGTACCTCAAGAGACGGCGCTCGTTCACAACACCATGAGGAATCGTCCACGGCTTCCTAGTCAACCATAGGATATCGAGGTGCGGAAGTATGATGCGACTCCTACCATGCCGGAGGACGCCCGGGGTCGATGGTGAAGCAAGGGTGAGAAAGACGCCCTTGTTTGCGTCGTCGTCGTCTATCTCGGCATCGACTTCGTCGTCGGAGCACCAATGGTGTACGATGTTATCGTGGTATAGATGAAGAGTATGCACGTTAGGAACAGCTTGGAAGACCAAGGCCCAGTCCCCAGAGTTCCAGTGAGACATGCTGGCCGAGAAGACTGTGAGGTTCGCGAACTGATCCTGTACGCGCAAGCACCTTGTCAGCCCCTGGGCGAACTGCCAATTGGCACACGCATAGAGCGACGCCCTGATATCAGGGCGAGGCACTCCGCGCGGGTAGTCAAACGGATATGAGGACGATTGGTCCGGATGTGGCAGAGGTCCTGAGTACAGCGTGAGATTGAACCCATCAAATGCGACGCCGAAGGGAGGGTCCTCGCGCCAGATAGATTTCACTGAGGATTCGATATATCCAAGATCCTCCGCGCTGTCGGGGCATTCATATGCGATGTAGAGGTACGTGCGCGGGGGAAACGATAGATGCTCCATGAGTGTTTTGAAAGTCTTCGCCGGTATCCCGCGAGCGTCTGCGTCGCGCCAGAGGGTGAGGCTCTCCAGTCTGGGCAGAGGGACGATTGCGCAGCCCGTGAAGTCGATCGAAAGAGTGCAGGAGTGCAGTTCCATTTCTTCAAGCAGAGGAACTTTCAACAGAAGAGCCAACAGGAACTTTGATGGTAGTTGGAGCTTTTCGAAGTATAGATAGGTCAACGTTGGTGCGATGAGCGGAATGAAGCAGTTTGTGAATGATATAGACGTGAGGCGTGGGGCGTAGACGGGATGATCGTATAGCCTATGTGAGAAGTCGTGATCGCGGCTCGGTGTGTGTTGCAGATCCAAGGCAAGCGTCTCTAGCGTTGGGAGCGCAGAATCTTGAAGACAGGCGCAGATGTTGTCAAAGGTCTGTCCATGCAAAGTGCTCCATTTCATCCTCCTAATTCGCTTGATTGAGTGCAGGAGGATAAGCTCCTGGAAGTCATGCTGGTAGCCGATCACGTTCTCCAGTTCAAGATGAATATCCAGTGGGACGTCGTCTCCAGCGCGTTCGAGGAACTCCGTCAAGGCGTCCGGGAGGATAGCAACGTGTAACGCCCAGAGGTCTGGTGTACGCAGGCAAAGCGATCTCCACAGCTTACTGACGTGGCTGATGCGTACCCATCCCAGTCGACTTGGCTCTTGAGATGGAAAGTATCTTTTGCGCGGCGGATCGTCCATGGCGACGAAAAGGAAGATCGAAGCAAGTATCTCCGGAGGAAGGCGTGATATAGGAGAGACAAGGGACTGTGCACAGGCTTTGAGGTACGAAGAAAAGCCGTCGGCCTCGAGACGCAACGCGTGAGCCAGGTGAGCGCGCTTTTCGGGATTTGGGGCGGCACCATGCTGGACGAGTTCCTCGTAGTGCAGCTTCTCCAGCACATCACGCGCATAGCCTAGCCACATTGGCTCCTGGCGGTTGTCAGCTGAACTGGTGTGTGCATTTGGACGTTCGCGACGTACAGAAGGGAGATCAATCTGGTGCTGGTTATTGCTCATAATATCCGCTTGATACCCGCTCATGCATTGAGTGAACTCAGAGACAGGCTGATCGCAGTACCGTGCAGAATCTGCAGGGGAACGTGTTGGAGTGGAAGAAAGTCTAGAGCGATCGGACTTGGAGGTGGTGGCGAATAACGAGCGTAGCAGCGTGCGCCTCCGCGGGCCGCAAACCGGCCCGGCATCGCCGACGAGCCCGAGTCTGCTCGCAACCTCGCCGTCGTCTTTCTTCGCGCTCCCGCCAGCTCATTTTCACGGCGCTGGCATATACGCAGGCGTGAAAAGGGACTCTATATCAAATTCCGTGATACGAAGACATAACTCGCGCTGCTTAATTTAATTGGACAAACAATCGTAGTGAACAAGACGGACTAAGCTTTATGGATCATCCACGCATATGAGCTCGTGTTGGCGAGAGGCGCAGTAAGTGCAGAAAAGCTAAAGTATTCGCTAATAGAACTCAATCAAGCTCTAAGCTTGACTTGTATCCCATGCTACGTTCTCCACCAGCCCACTCAATGCTTGCGCATCTTGGTAACAGTCGTCCTCCTCGCCGGGTTCGCCGACGACGTCGAGCTTGATATTCCACAAAGTAGGCGCGAGCAACTGAGCGCGCGTCTTGACGATCGATACCAGTTTCTTGAGGAGATCGTGTTCGTCGATCTCGTACCAGTGTGTTGCAGACTTTGCTAACCAGAGACAGGCGAGACACGGCAGGGTCGCAGAGGGCTTCGAAGGACGAGACGACGTGGTAGCGCTCGCGACAGGTGAAGCGAGCGCGGTGAAGATGTCCGGCACCCTATAGGCATCATTCCCCGTCTTGGCGCTGTCGTCCGAATCATCTGCGCCGCTTCCCTTTCGACAGAGTGACTGAAGGGTCTGTAGATTGGGTAGAACCAGAAACATCCACGTCCAACCTATCAAGTCGAACTCCGCCATGTCCACGGACAAGTAGACGATTCCGGCCAGCTCCGTGCATATGGGCAATTTCTTCAAAAGTGCCCGTGAGAGATCTTTCGATGATGCTACATGAAAGCGTGCTCGCTTGCAAGCCTGCGCGAAATTCTCGTAGGGGTGTTCGTAATGGGTGTTCTTCGGTTCAGAGCGAACACCAGTGTAAAGCTCGAAACACCGATGTCGCGCACGGCCAAACTCGACAATCTTCAGCCCTGTGGGTGGGTCTTCTCGCCACACGGAGCGCACGAGGGGTACAATGTAGTCGAACTCTTCTGAGTCGCCAGGCTCGTCGTTGACGTCGATGTGCAAGGATGCAGTTGTGGGCATCACCAGGTGCTCGATGATACCCTTATAGACCGACGACGGTGATCTTTCGTCCGAAAAGCCCGTGAGGTTGATGTTTTGCAGTTTGTTTAGGTATGTGATGGAGCAACCTGTGAAGTCGCCAGTGTAGATGCAGGCCATGAGATCCAAGAACTCCAGGAGCGGACATCCCCTCAAGACGTCGAGAAGTCGAATGCACGATATGACGACGCCGTTGAGATCGAGGTGAGTCACTCGTGGGCCGGTGAAGGGTATAAAGCATCGAGTAAAGCCCATGTAGGTGGCGTTCGGCGCAGTAAAAGGCGTATAGCGAGGGTCCTGGTGGAACAAATCGAGCTCTCTAAGACCTTCATACTCAAGTAGGAGACTGTGTAGCCCCACTAGGGGTTTACTAGAACTCCACAAGGCTGCAGCGAAGAGCCGCACGGACGATGGCTTGGGTGAGTACCAGACGAAGTCCCTCAAGCGTTCGATGAAGTGGCCGGACACGATGGCGTCAAAGTCTGAATAGCGCGCTAGAGGGTTACCAGACTCTATATGGATGTCAAGCAGCGTGCTGTGCCCGCTCCATTCCAGAAAGAAGTTTGTAGCTTCAGGGATCCTGCCGATATGAAAGGACCATAGTTCGGGCGTATTCATGCATAGATACCTCCATCTGCCCTGAACATGAGTTATGCGAAGCCATCCCAGAGAGCGGTGAAGCGGACGGTGCGATGTGTGCTTTGAAGGGAAAGATCGATAAGGTGGGTCGTCCTCGGCGACAAGCTCAAACACGCGAACGAGGATCTGTGATGGCAGGCGATTCACGGGCGCTAACATCACATCCACGCGAGCAACCACGTATCGAGGGAGGCTGACGTCGTTTGCTAGAAGATAATCTTGCAGTTCAGAGCGCGCTCCTTGATCGAATTCGCAATCGCGCATAAGCCTCTCGAAGCGCTGAGGGGTCATAGTCGATAGGGCATAGATAGCCCAGAAAGGAGGAGGCTAGTTGTACGTGAGCCCATATCATTGGGCGACTGCGTTTGGGGAGCGTACGAAAAAAAGTGGCATGAACGGCTGAGAGTCACGGGCGCCAGTGAGTCTGCGCATAGCTCGTGTCCCGTGAGTGTTATCTGAGGTATACAGGCGCTAGTGATGCTGAACAATCTGGGATCGGGCAATAGAGTGGTAGTATGTGGAAGACTAGGTTGCCAGCTAAAATGCGTCCAATTCGCCTATGTATTGCGGGCGGTTTTCAGTGAACGGCGTGGGCCACAAAGAACTGTCCGGTGGCGGGACCAGAACAAGAGTTGGTCGCTGGATCCGACAGTGAATACGCCACTTGGTGTAGCGGCGGTCGAGAGAGTATGCCTCCCTGTGTAGGTGTGATGACTGAGAGCATAGGAAATATGCAATTCGAGGTAATGTTCGGGCGTAGATGGCGGGAGGAGGCAGGTCACATCAGACCGACGACTATGCCAAAGGGATCTCGGCCCCGCCGCTCCGGACGAGTGATGGGAATTGAAGAATAATTCACCGTACAAGCATCTCTATTTTAGTAAGCATTGTCTTATGCCTTTCGTTGTCTTGACATGTGATGGACTCCTACAGGTACTAACATGGTAACAAACAAGCAACATCAAAAAGCCCCCCAGTCCACAATATCAATATCATCAACATCAATCGGCGTTTATTTCTACGCCACTAACACCCCCTCCATCGAACACTCTCAACCAACCCACTTAGCACACACTTATCCCCCCATCCTCCCTGCTCCCCCTCCTCCTCTTTAGGCTCATCGACAATGTCGAGCCTCAGACTCGTCAAAGCCGGCGCGCGGAGCTCGGCGCGTTTCTTGACGGCCGCGGCTAGGTGCTTGAGGATGAACTGGTCATGTATACCGTGTTCTTCGCCGTACCGAGTAAGCCAGAGAGTGTTGAGGTATGGAAGGGGTAGGGCAGCAGGGGCAGGTGATGATGTATTTGAGGTGCCAGGCGCCGAAGGAACGGCGATTGCGAGGGGCGACGCGAGTGCGGTGAAGGCGCCCACAGATTCAGCCGGTCGAGCGGCACCCATCGCCTCGCCTTCACTCCCACCCTCATCGCTCTCATCATCCGCGCGGCGAATCAACTGGAGCGTGCGCAGGTTGGGCAGAGCTTGAAAGATACGGATCCACCCCTCCAAGTCGAACTGGTCCACGTCGGCTGAGAGGTACACGATTGTGGCCAGTTCCGCGCGTATGGGCAGCCGCGTATGGATCGCTCGCACGAGGTCATTCGGCGCACTCTTGATGCGGAACTCGGCTCGGCGCTTAGCCTGCCAAAAATCTTCGGCCCAATGCTCGTAGTGCGGTTTCGCGTGATCATGAGATATACCGGAGAAGAACTCGATCTGCGCGCTTTGGTGGTTGCAGTGCTTAAGATTGAGGCTGATTACCCTCAGTCCTGAGGGCGGGTCCTCGCGCCATAATGATAGTACAGTGGGAACGAAGGGGTCGAACTCTTCTGGGTGACCAGGCTGATCGTTCAGGTCGATGAGCAAGGTGGCCGAGGCAGGTAGTAGCAAGTGCGCTATGATGGCACTGTAGACAAAAATCGGCGTTTCTTCGTCCCCATAGCCGGTGAAGATGAAGGATCGGAGTTTCGGCAACGAGACGACCGCACAACCAGTGACGTCTTCGCTGAAGATACACCCTTCAAGTTCCAAAGACTTCAATCCTGGTGATCTCTTGAGGGTATCGAAGAGATGGGCGCAAGATATAGCGACAAGGGAGAGGTTAAGATAGACCAATCGAGGGGCGGAGAAGGGGATGAAACAGTCTTGGAAGCCCACGCTGGTGGCATTGGGTAGGTCGATGGGGCCAACGCCGTAGTTCTGGCGAAACAAATCGGCTTCCCGGTCTCCTCTCTTCTCGACGAGGAGACGGTCCAAAGACGACAGATCTGATCCACCTTGAAGGGAATCGAGCAAGGTCCGTAGAATTGGCGCATCAGGTGTGCACCAGACCAACTTTCTCAGGCGTCCGATGAGTTTGGTCGCTACGAGAAGGGCGAAGTCCGCGTCGACCGCCAGAGGGTTGTCGGGTTCGATATGGATGGTCAACGGAGCGCGGTGCCCCGCGCGTTCTAGGAAGAGCTCTGTGACGTTTGGATGGAGAGTGATATGTGATGCCCACAGGTCGGGCGTGCTCAGGCAGAGGTATCTCCATCGACGATTGACTTGACTGAGGCTGAGCCATCCCATGGAGTGGAACTCGTCCTCATCATCATCCTCGTCCTCGTCCTCGTCTCCCAAAGGGAAAAAGCACCATGGAGGATCAAGCTCGGCGACGAGCCTAAAGATCTCGATTAGAATCTCCGGTGGCAGACGTGTTATGGGCGATAGTATCGCCTCCAGGCGGTCCTCCACCCATGGCTGAAACGCGAGGTTGTTGTGTGTGAGATAAGCTAAAAGGCTGACGCGCGCTTGTTCATCGACCTCGCAGGCCCGCAGGAGTCTCTCGAAGCGTTGCGGTGTCATAGTCGTGAGTGCATAGAGAGTCCAGAATGATGGTGACTATATGGTCGTACGTGAGTTTCTGCGACAGTCGACGAAGAAAGTGTTGTGGCGTACAAAATCTGACGGTATAACCGGCTCGGGAAATAGGAAGCCGTTCAGCCACCAGTCGCTCATGGTGATGAGATTTCAATGGCGCGCGTTCTCCGATGAAACTCTGCTGGTGGCAGAGGATGAAGTGGGATTAGGATGGATGTAGCTCGGTGGGTAGGGTACATTGATTGCGCTTTGTGCTTTCGAGGGACGGAGAAAGGTGCGGCATAAAGAGCCAATCTTCAAGCTTCACGGGGCAACACACGCCTCGCATGTCGCAACTTCGCTTTACTATTGGTAGCATTAGAGATCAATGTACGACGAGTGCAACTTGAAGTGCTATACGCACATGATGGAAGACAGTTCTCGGCATCGTAAGATTCTCACAGGCAGTCCAGTTCTTGTAGTCTTGCTGCCTCATCCGACATATCTCATCTCCGTTCGCTGGCCAGAGATGTCCGCCGACTGACAGCTTGAGCTCCCGGTCGCCTGTCGATGATGCGTTGGCAACCAGATAGACGAAATTCGCCTCCAATGTGCGTGAAGAGATTTTTGCGGGCCAGCTTCGGCGCGTGGTGAAGGAGATTGGCGAAGAAGGAGAAAGTCGGTAAGACACGCGAAGTGCCAATACATATGTGACCCTGGACGCTGGATCGCGAGCGCAAGAGACGAGAGACGACCTCGGTGATACGGCTGGTACATCGTCCACGTGCTGCGGTTGAATAGAAGCCGAAACGAGCGCGTCCGACGCTGTCCGACGACGCGTCGAGCGGCTGACTGAGACCCAACACCGTACAACATCTCTATTTTAGCAAGTATTGTCTTATGCTTTTCGTTCGCCGGGCAGATGATCGATTATCACAACTACTATCACAATACTACATAAGTAACGCCATGAAGCGCCCCAGTCCCCGATGTCACCAAGATCAATCGGCGTCTAACTTTGTATACCACCAACGCCCCTCCACCTAACACTTTCAACCAACCGACTCAACACGCACTTATCCCCCCATCTTCCCGCCTCCCCTTCCTCCTCTTTAGGCTCATCGACAAAGTCCAGCCTCAGACTCGTCAAAGCCGGCGCGCGGAGCTCGGCGCGTTTCCTGACGGCCGCGGTCAAATGCTTGAGGATGAGCCGATCGTGTATACCACGCTCGTCCCCGTACTTCGTAAGCCAGAGAGTGTCGAGGCGTGGAAGGGGTGGGGCAGCAGGGGCAGGTGATGGAGTATTTGAGGTGCCATGCGCCGAAGCAACGGCGATTGCGGGGGGCGACGCGAATGCGGTGAAGACGTCCACAGAGCCAGCCGGTCGAGCGGCACCCGTCGCCTCATCGTTCTCATTACCAACGCGGCGAATCAACTGGAGCGTTCGTAGGTTGGGCAGAGCTTGAAACATACGGACCCACCCCTCCAAGTCGAACGCGCCCATCTCGGCCGAGAGGTACTGGATCGCAGCCAGCTCCGCGCGTATATCCAACCGCGTATGAATTGCCCGCGCGAGGTTATTCGCCGAGCCCCTAATACGAAACTGAGCGCGGCGCTTAGATTTCCAAAAGTCTTCGGCCGGATGTTCGTAGCGCGGCTTCGCGTGATCGTGCGATATACCGGAGAAGAACTCGAAGGTCGCGCCGTCGGGACGGCTGCAGCGAAGGATCCACAGCCCTGAAGGCGGGTCCTCGCGCCAGATTGATCGTACGGCGGGCACGAAGTGGTCGAACTCCTCTGGGTCGCCGGGCTGGTCGTTCAAGTTGATGAACAAGAAGGCCGAGGCGGGTAAGAGCAAATGCGCTATGATGTAGCTGTAGATGCCAAGTGGCGTGTCCTCGTCCGCAAACCCGGTGAAAGTGAAGGATCGGAGGTTCGGTAGCGAGACGACCGCACAACTCGTATCGGTGAGATCTCCACTGAAAATACACCCCTCGAGCTCCAGCCACTTCAATGCTGGACATCTCCGCAGGGAATCGAAGAGATGGGCGCACGAGATCTGTAGCATGGAGAGGTCGAGACTGACCAGCCGAGGGGCGTTGAAGGGGATGAAGCAATCTTGAAAGCCGATGTTGGTTGCGTTTGGGAGGTCAATGGGGCCAACGCCGTAGATCTGGCGAAATAGATCATCTTCCCGGTCACCTAGTTTCTCGACGTGGAGAAAATTCAGCGACGACAGGGCTGATTCGCGTTGGAGAGCATCGAGTAACATTCGCACGATCGGCGCATCAGGAGTGCACCAAACCAACCTTGTCAGACGTTCGATGAGCTTGGTCGACACGAGACAAGCAAAGTCCGCGTCGAACGCCAGAGGGTTGTTCCGTTCGACCTGGATGGTCAACGGAGCGCCATGCCCCGCGCGTTCCAGGAAGAGCGCTGTGACGTCCGGATGGAGAGTGATATGTAATGCCCATAGGTCGGCCATGCTCAGGCAGAGGTATCTCCATCGACGATTGACTTGGCTGAGACTGATCCATCCCATGCAGTGGACCTCGTCCTCGTCCTCGTCCTCCTCGGGGAAAGCGCACCACGGAGGAGCAAGCTCGGCGACGAGCCTGAAGATCTCGATCAGAATCTCCGGTGGCAGACGTGTTACGGGCGATAGTATCGCCTCCAGGCGTGCCTCCACCCATGGCTGAAACGCGAGGTTGTTGTGCGTGAGATAAGCCAAAAGGTTGGCGCGCGCTTGTTCGTCGATCTCGCAGGCGCGCAGGAGTTGCTCGAAGCGTTGCGGTGTCACCGTCGTGAGGGCGTGGAGGATCCAAAAAGATGGTGACTATGTTGTTGTTAGTGAGAGTCTGCGACATTCAGAGAAGTGGTGGCGTACAAAGTCAGACGGTATAACCGGCTCGGGGTAGAGGAAGCCGTTCAGCCACCAATCGCTCATGGTGGCGGGATTTCGATGGTTTGGAAGTGAGGAGCGCGTTCTCCAATGAGACTCTGCTGGTGGCAGAGGATGAAGAGTGATTGGGATGGATGCAGCTCGGTGGGTAGGTTATAGTGATTGTGGTTTGCGGTTTCGAAGGATAGAGAACCGCGCGGCACAAAGGGCCCGTTCATCGCGAGGCACACTACCAGCATCGAGAGGGATCTTGCCCGGGCAATATGACGGAAAAGTGGCTGGTAATAGGTCGTCCATTAACCGGATATAGACCGGTAAAGACTCGTGGCCAAAACGGGGCGAGAACAATGGCTAACAAGGGTGCTGTCCTTTTGGGGCCTCTTGCTTCTCCCAGTCAAATCCGCCCTCAAGTAAGCTCTACCAGTAGTGTCAGAAATCAACATGTGAGGGATAGAAGGGGCAACACGCACGGGGCAGAAGATAGCTCTCAACATCGCATGCTTGGAAGAGCCTCAAAGCCTACGGAGCCCTGACATTCTTGCCGCTTCATCCGCTACCCGCCGCATCTCTCTCCGTTCGCCGGCCGAACATGTCTGTCGACGGACAGTCTTCGAGGTCTCGAACGCATGTTGATAATGCATACGGTATCCTTAGCAGACAACCCCCTCAAGTGTGTGCGAAGATGTCTTTCCGGGCGAGCATCGATGTAAGGTGTGTATGCAATCAAGAAGGGAGCAGAGAGTCAGCAAGACACGCAAAGTGTGAATGCGTCCTGGTATTCCCAGTACTCTGTCGCTGGATCGCGAGCGCAAGAGACGAGAGACGATCTCGGCGAATACGGCTGGTCCACGACTCCACGTGCTGCGGTTCAATAGAAGCCGAAATGAGCGCGTCGCGACGCGTTCAGCAGCTGACAGAGACCCCGATCCCGCCCTTCCCATCGACGTCCACCACCTCTCCTCAGCCATGCCCACAAAGACCAAATCGCGTTCCGCGCGCCCCGCCCCACCAAAACGCCAGTCAAAGTCCGAACCCGCCAAGCCGTCCCGCCCGACGCGTCGTGCGTCGACAACCAACAACAAGAAGCGGAAGGCTCCCGAATCTGACGAGGACGAGGAAGAGAACGAGAACGCCGAGTCGTCCGCTGACGAAGGCGCGTCGGACGGGTACAAAGACTCTGGGGCGTCGAGCGCCGAGGACGAAGCGCTCGACTCGGACCGGCTGGACGAGGACGAGGACGAGGACGACGTGAAGCCGGGCAACAAGCGCAAGGCGGGGAAGAAGGCTTCTCCTCGGAAGAGGCGGAGGAAGGATGAAGATGACGAGGAGCAGGAGTGGGATGGGGAGGACGAGGATGGGCGGGAGATCGTCGGGCGTGTGGTCGAAGCCCCTAAGACGGGCAGAGGTGCGTTTTCGTGCTATCTACTCGTCTAAACCTTGCATTGATGCCTATCGTGCAGTACCGCCCGGTCAGATATCTAAGAATACGTTCAACTTCCTCACAAACCTCAAGAAACCCGAATGCAACGACCGCCAGTGGTTTAAGCTCAACGGTACGTTCTAAGATGTCCTACCAGCACGGGCTGCTCAAGCATACATTCTGTCCGCAGAACCCGTATACCGACTCGCGGAGCAAGAGTGGAAAGACTTTATAATCGCGCTCACGGACGACCTCGTCGACGTCGACCCGCAAGTCCCGCCTCTACCGCCCAAAGACGTCATACACCGGATATACCGCGACGTGCGCATCTCTCCGTTTGAAACGGCATAAACGCGGGCTAAGTATCTTCGCAGGTGCGCTTCAGCAACGACAAGACGCCATACAAAACTGGCTTCAGCGCCAGCTTTTCGCGCGGTGGGCGAAAGGGTTTGTTTGCGCATTGTACGTCCTTTCTTGTACTGTACGTTGCTCAGTCTTGATCATCCTCGTGCGCCAGATCATGTGTACGTCTCACGCCTTACAAACTAACATCCGCTAACCCCCCACGCCTCCGCACAGCATGAGTACGTCTCCTCCCCTCCCCCAAACCCACATCCCCATACTAAACCCCCCTCCAGTCAAACCCGGCAACGAATCAATGTTCGCAGCGGGCGCCTGGTGCCCCGGCAAAAACGAGCTGGACACCATCCGCGCGCACATCAAACACAACCCGGCCCGGCTCCGCGCTCTGCTCAAAGACCCCGATTTCATCGACATGTTCGGCCAGCCGAAGCCGGGAAAAAGGAGCAGTATTTTCGGACGGGAGGACGAGCTGAAGAATGCGCCGAAGGGCGTTGCGAAGGATCATAAGTGCGTTCTTTTCGGATTAAATTTGAGGATGGAGGATGGGGCTGATGTGTGCGTGTGGTAGGGATATTGATTTGTTGAAGTGCCGCACGTTCGCTGTGGTGCACAAGTAATGTCGCCTTATCTCTCTTCACCGTTCGAGTGCTAAGGGTGTCGCTAGGTTCAAAGATGAGACGGTTCTCTCTCCTGAGTTCCGCGAGGAGCTGAAGCGCGTTATGGACGTCGCCAGACCGTTCGTTCACTGGTGAGTCTGGTGATCCACACTATACTTCTTATGTCTGACGCTAGATCAGTTTGAACGACTGGATGACGGTGGGTCTGGACGAAGAAGAGGGCGCCGAAGAGGCGGACGACGATGATGAGTAGGGGTGGCAGACGGTAGTCTCTCTCTTGACTTGTCACTTGTCTGTTGATCATTTGTTCTCTTCGCTTTCTTGGATTTCGTCCGTCTGTACTCCTCTCCTCGCCCGTCCTCTAGTACCTATCATCCCGCTTGTCTCTTGTATTGTATACGCTTTCGAATGCTATCGCTTCCTGTGTCATGACTGAGGTCTGTTATGTTAACTGAGGCTATCACGGAATACGCTTGATTATGATACCGCGATTCAATAAGCGAGCTCCCAGCGCGTCTTAACGTGCTCAGGATTTCGCCTTGGAACGACCTTGGACTCCATACGCGCTGCCAGCCGCATCTGGGGCCCGATACCCCGGCGCGCTCGTCGAGCCGCGGGTGAAGTCGCACAGAGCTACCGCAAGTCGCGCCTGGCGAGCGACTAAGACTGTAGAGAAAGTCAGATGATCGCGTTGCCCCGCTCCCACGCGTCCTCCGCGCTCGCCGCACTCTGGAGGCGGATTTCTGCTGTGTACTTCATTGCCCAGCATACCCAACACATCGTCGACATACGACCGAGAAGTCGGCGGACACCTCTGGCCGACGAACGGAGATGGGATGTGGCGGATAAGGCAGCACGGCTACGAGAACTGGATTGCCTGTGAGAGCTCGGTTCCAACGAACAGAGGTCTTTGTTCCCTTCTCGGACGGCGTTTCGACGCGATGAGGTCGGGAGGTGCATGTCGCGATGGCCAGCCGCCAGCTACTCTGCGCAAGATGAAGAGCTCGCAACGCTGCTCGAATGAGAAACGCGAGTCGACGCCGCTGTAGCCCGTCGCGCCGGGTGTGGAGCGAAGCGGTGCAAAGCCGTCTATGTGTAGGACCCCCGGGTGGCCCATCGTCCTGCAAGTAGCGGTCAAGTTGCACTCGTCGTGCCTTGATCTCTGATGCTACCAATGGCAGAGCGAGCTTGCGAGGTGCCTTGCCTCGTGAAGATCGGTTCTTTGTGGTGCACGTTCCTCCATCCTTCGAAACAACGAACCAAAATCAATGCACCCTGCCCACCGGGCTGAATCCATCCCAATCTCTCTCCACCCCCTACCACCACCAAAGTGTCATTGGCGAACGACCTCCTCGCTTGCACGTCCCCGGAACTCGTCCGCCATGAGTGGCTGGTGGCCCAACGGCTTCCTATACCGGACCCGTCCCGGGGTTATACCATCAGACTTTGTATGCTACGACACTTCCTACATCGACTGTCGCAGATGCTTACATGACGTTACGACTAGTCGCCGTCTTTCTGGATCCTCTATGCCCTCACGACCATGACCCCGCAACGCTTCGAGCAACTCCTGCGCGCCTGCGAGGTCCACGCACAAGCGCGCGTCAACTTGTGGAATTATCGCGTATATAACAACCTCGCGTTTCTGCCATGGGTAGAGTCCCGCTTGGAGGCGATCCTATCGCCCGTAACACGTCTGCCACCGGAAATTCTGACCGAGATCTTCAGGCTCGTCGCCGAGCTTGATCCTCCGCGGTGCGCTTTCGCCGAGGACGAGGGCCATAGCTATTGGTATCGTTCCATGGGATGGATAAGCCTCAGCCAAGTCAACCGTCGATGGAGATACCTCTGCTTGGGCACGCCCGACCTGTGGGCACCCTATATCACTCTTCATCCAGGCGTCACAGAGCTCTTCCTGGAACGCGCTGGGCACAGCACGCCATTAACCATTGATATCGAACCCAACAACCCTCTGGCGTTCGACGCGGATTTCGCTCGTCTCGTGTCGACCAAGCTCATCGAACGCGTGAGAAAGTTGGTTTGGTGCACACCTGATGCGCCAATTATACGGATGTTGCTCGATGCACTTCAAGGCGAAGCAAGTCTGACATTGCTGGACTTTCTACACATCGAGAAACGAGGCTCCCGGGAAGAATACCTGTTTCGCCAGAACTACGGCGTCGGCCACATCGACCTACCCAATGCGACCGACGTAGGCCTCCATGACTGCTTCGTCCCCTTCAGCGCCCCTCGGCTCGTCAGCCTCGACCTCTCCATGCTACCGATAGCGTGCGCCCATCTCTTTGATACCCTGCGAAGATGTCCAAACTTGGAGTTTTTGGAACTCGTGGAGGGTATCTTCTACGGCGATCTCACCGGCTGTGCGCCCGTCGCGCTACCGAGACTCCGATGCTTCGAATTCATTGGCTTTGCGGACGAGGATACGCTACCTGGTGTATACAGCTATATCCTCAGGCAATTGATACTACCCGCCTCGGCCTTCTTGTCCCTCGACTTGAACGACCGGCCCGGCGACCCAGAAGAGTTCGACCACTTCGTGCCCGCCGTACGCTCACTCTGGCGCGCGGACCCGCCCTCAGGGCTCAAGATCGGCCACCGCGGCCACCCCGATGGCGCGCTCATCGAGTTCTTCTCCGGTGTATCTCACGATCCGACGAAACCGCACTACGAAAGTTGGGCCGCAGATTTCTGGAAGGCCGAGCGCCGCGCCGAGTTTCGCGTCGCGGACTCGGCAAATGGCCTCGCGCGAGCGATCCATACGGGGTTGGATATACGTGCGGAGCTGGCCGCGATCGTATATCTCTCGGCCGAGATGGAAGCGTTCGACTTGGAGGGCTGGGTCCGTATCTTTCGGGCTTTGCCTAATCTGCGCACGTTGCAATTGATCCGCGAATCCGTGGAGGATGAGAGCGACTGTGATGAGGGTGGAAGCGATGGTGGGGAGATGGGCGCGGCGAGAGCGGATGAGGCTGTGGACGTGTTCACCGCACTCGGGGTTCCCCTTGCAGTCGCGTATGGCTCCTCGGACACTTCGTCCGCCTCTGCTGCCCCACTCCTTCCACGTCTGAACAATCTCTGGCTTACCCAGTACGGCAAAGAGCACGGTACACATGGCCGGTTCGTCCTCAAGCATTTGGCCGCGGCCGTCAGGAAACGCGCCGAGCTCCGTGCGCCGGCTTTGACGAGTCTGAGGCTGGACCTTGTCGATGAACCTAGAGAGGAGGAAGGGGAGGCCGGAGGATGGGGAGATAAGTGCGTGTTGAGTCGGTTGGTTGAGAGTGTTAGGTGGAGGGGACGTTAGTGGTGTACAAAGTTAGACGCCAATTGATCTTGATGACATCGGGGACTGGGGCGCTTTATGGCGTTACTTATGTAGTATCGTAATAGTAGCTGTGGTGATTAATTATGCTCCCGGCGAACAAAAAGCATAAGACAATACTTGCTAAAAGAGACTGAGAGATGTATTGCACGGCGATGTATTGTGCGATTCCCGCCAGTCGCTCGGAGCTCCCCTGCGTCTCGCCTGGGAGAATTGACAACCTCGAAAACCATTTGCGCTCGTATTCGCGCTTAGAGCTGGATACCCTGGTGCGCTCGTTGAGCCACTAGAGGTGCCGAACGGGCGCTACTGCAGTCGCGCGTGGCGAGCAGGGTAGAAAGTCAGATGACCGCGTCGCCCCGCTCCCACGCGCCCTCCGCGCTCGCCGTGCGTCGGAAGACTCGGTCGCGAAGACGGCCAAGAACCTCTACCACAACCATGGTTCGCCACCTCTCCTCTCCTCCTCACCACACACAGCAGCTAATACGCTTTTAGGGCGGCGGCGCACGTTATCCATACCGCAAAGACGTCTGGTCACCCGCCGGAGGCTGGTGGTCCCAGCCCAAGACATGGCGCCGCAACACCGCCATCCTCTTCGGCGGTATTCTGCTCGTCACATACGGCGCTGCATCGGTATCGTGGGACCGCGAGGTGCGTCTTTACAATATCCTGCTAGAGGGTGTGAGGTTGACCTGGGGCGCAGCAACGATACGTTCTCCCAACGCGCTGGGTGCCTTCTATGCTTGTGCGTTGCTTTTGCTTTGGAGTTAACTGTATTGCTGACGCATTGAATAGTTCTCTCGTCAGTTTAGGGAAGATGAGGCGGCGAAGGCTGTCGCTGAGAAGTACTCGCACTAGACATAGCATCCCATCCAATATAGTTATCTGCTTTCGCATCGCTCTCGCTTCATTGCGTGCTTCAAGATTCTACCCGGATAGTTGCCCCGGCCCTGTCGAAGTATGCAAGCTAGAACGCGCGCATGGAAATCGCATTTCATGTCTTCCTACTACGAGGAAGGTGCTGTATGAGCATGAGGCTTGCCGGGAAGACCGTGGGCGGCGCAAGTCGTAGCGGCGTCATTCCTCCATAGCACGCTCTACCAGCTCTGACCCATATCCTTCAATCGGTACCGCATAAACTCGGCAATAGGCACCTCTCAATCAATCACTCCTTCAAAGCAAAGCTCACTCCGTACCTGACAGTACAGCTCGCGGCACCGGAAGAGTCAATCCCCATCACGTGCGGTTCCGCCGACTCACCGCCTGGTCTGAAGCGATGCGAAGCCGCTTAGTGGCGCAACATCATTGACCTCGTCTGACTCAAAGCTCGTCTATCCGGCCTCCGTAGCCGCTCGGGTACTTAAGCCGTTCATTACCGCCTCGCCATCTTCAACTCAAACACCCACCTCGACGCACTCGACGCGTCGCCCCGAACACACTATCACAACAAGCACCCATATCGCAAGAGTCATGGTCGGACTTAAAGACTACCGCCGTATGACGCCCACACAACGCGAAGCAGACCGCGAGCGCCGCCGTCAAGGACGCGAGGTTCGGCGCTTCCACCCCTACCCCCTCCCCTCCCATCATACTAACCAGTCCCTCCAGCGCCGTGCAGCAGAGAAAGAAGCCGCACTCGTCCTCCGCGAAGGACGGCGCGGATTAGGGATGAGCCACGTCCCGCACGTAGACGCCTTCATGCGCCGCGACTGGCGCAAGGCGTACATGAAAGAGGCCAAGGCGTTCCCGGATTTAGACGACGAGACGCAGGGGACGGAGGACGGGGAGCAAGACGCGGAGAGAACGTGGGCGTGGAACGCTACGCACGTCGTGAGGTCGGAGGTGCCGCAACTGCAGATGTCGTTGGCGGATTTGATTGAGGTTGCGCCAGTACGGCGCCGGCGAGGGGGCAAGAAGGGGCGCGGACAGCGCGCTGTGGAGGGTGATGATCATGATGCGTACTCCGTTCTGGGGTCGGAGGCGGGGACCGAGATGTGGTCGGAGATGGGCGAGGAGGAGCTCGCGAGCGTGCTTGCTGCGCTTGATGAGGAGGCTGAAGAGGAAGAGTGGGAGCAGTTGGGCGCGGACGAGGTCTTGACGGTGAATGCGGCAGAGGCGAAGACGGTCGGAGTAGCGCGATGAATATTACGAGAGCTCGAGCATGCTCTCGGTTTACTTTATTGGATCATCGTCACGCTACCCTATATACCCCTGCATACTACTTTTCTATTGTATGTGCACGTTGCGCACACCATGCATTTGTGACCTGAATTCATATGCATATTGGTCTCGGCGAGCAAGACCAAGAGACCAAGAGCCGCCGCGCTTGCGGCTGAGCGAGGTGCCGGTGAGCATTGGCGCTAGCGAATCGCTATGCTTTCGTCCATAGCATCAGATTGGACGGGGCGCACACAAAAGCCATATGGTGCACCTGTCCTCTTCGATCTATCGTAGTTCGCATTGTTCCCCGGCAATGTCCGTGTTGGCTTCGACCGCTCATCCGGGCCGAGCTCCACTCTCCTCTGAACCTCCATGGTCATCTCCAGTCGGGCGTGAGTTCTGCACAGGTCAAACACTATCCGAGAGCATTACTGCGAGCGCATACCCGCGTATCGAGCTTGTGCTCTGCCTATCGAGCGATGGCGCTGTTTTCGGACCTACCCATCGACCTCCTTCCTTCAATCTTGGAACAAATCTTGAAAGCCTCGCACCTTGCTCAACTATGCCTCGTGAACAGAGGCTTCTATGAGGTTGCCGTGCCCCAGCTGTACTCGAGGATCATCATCCGCCATTGGTATCACGATGTAAAGACCAAGGTAAGAGCCGGTGAATATCTCAGCTGAAAGACGCGTGATGCGAGCTACAGGTTATCTGCCTCTTCAGGACGCTCACGGAGTATGAGCGTCTCGCTCTTATGGTGCATCAACTAGGTGAGAGTGTGTCCTCTCGACCTGCTCAGCAGTGCGCTGATGTACGCTAGAGATCGGCGACTTCCCGAAGGGCTTACACGCCGAACAAGACGACGCGCTCCGCGAGTCCTGCATACGCGGCCTGCGGAACACGAAGCATCTACGCGCCGTGACATGGACGCGCGACGGCTCCCTTACTTCCGAGATCATCCAGACCCTCGCGCAGTGCACCGAGCTAAGAAGCATCTCGTTCAATGGCAACAGCGCCAGCCATTACAACCCTCGCGAACTGCTCAAGTTGACGCGTCTCGAGTCTATATCGGTCGTGATGCCCAGTGCGGGAGTCACCAACCTCTTCCATCATTGGATGCGGGCAACTGGACGGACTTTGCGTAGTCTGACGCTGATATGCAAGGTATGTTTATGGTCCTGTACTTGCCCGGTTCGTTCTGACGGCGAATAAGGATACGAGGCTATTCGACGACGTTCTTCTCGAGGAGATGGCGAAACATCTACCCTCTCTTGAGCGTCTCAGCCTCGTCGGATGTCCCAAGGCTACTCACAAAGGCGTAGGCGCGTTGATCAAGCAGAATGTTCGCGGTGTCCTCGCGCTTGGGCTAGAGGGCATCACACCGGCATTCGTGAGCCGTCTTCCTCCACCTCAAATGCTGCGGCTCATTGCAGTGATCTCAGGATGTAGCGAGCTTTGGCGCCATCTGCGCGCGCGAAGGAGGACTCGTGTCGCTCAAGTCTTTCACATTCACCTTTGAGCCGAGTCTACTCAACGACGCTTCAATCAACGGCATCGTCGCTCTCCTCGCCGACTCTCCACTCGACCTCTTCCAAGCCTACGCAACCGATCGCGAAACTGCACTCGATGCACCGATGGTCGGAGTACTCATCGACCGCATCGTGCGCGCGCATGGGCATCGTCTGACGCGCCTATCTGTACACCGCGCTCGACTTCGCTTGTATACGATCGAGGGCATCTGCACGATGTGCCCGAACCTGCGTCAGCTCTTCATGTTGATAGACTCTTCGGACTTGGTACGTGCTTATCGGCGAACTTCATACACGTTCTGACCTTTCTCTCACAGCCTGAGCTCGGCCCGCTTCTGGCAAAGGCGCGCCAGCTAACTGCGGTTCATGTCAACATTTCAGAGCTGCCAGTACCGTACGAGCCGAACACGCGCGCTATGGCACTGCTCTCGCAATGCAGCCCGACCGTGACACAGTTCGGGATCGACAATCGCGTTTGGCAGGTACGCTCACGACCTGAAAGTTACCCGGTTTAGGCTGACGTCATGCGTGTAGATCGCTCGACATGTCGAGGTTCAGGCGGATGGACAGTTGACTACGCGGCCTGTGTTGACGACGTATGAGAACCCGGATATACCGGAGCAGTTCCTTGTTGTTCGCGCATAGACCAAGACTGTCATCTCGCAACATTGTTGGAAATAGGATGGGATATTTCCCAGTGAATAAGATACATCGCTATCTAGATCGGGGACCGAACATCGTGATACGACGGCTACGTGTGCTCGGCCACGCTAGCCTTAGGCCGAACCTGTACGACGGGAATAAGGACTGCATCCCAGAGGATCTCCACGTCATCATCCACGAATCCGGTGATACGAGGGTCCAAGGCTTGGAACGGTGACAGTTGGGTGATCTCCTTGAGGTCGAACTTCCCGTTCGAAACATATATCTTGATGAAGCCGACGTCCTGGTCCATGATCGTTGAATGTGCTCCTTCAAGATGGTACTTGAAAGGTCGTGCACCGCCCGCCCCATACCCTATCGGCAGCTGCTTTCCTGCTAGCAGCGTGGCCTCGCCACGTCCCCCCGGGCCTGAGTCCGGTGGCTTGTAGTACTCCACTACATCTAGTCAGGATGTGCACCGTGATGATGTGTTCCTAGATATACTCACCGATAGATAGGTCACTGCAATCAAAGTAGAAGATCCAAACATGCAGGGCGGCTTCCCAGTTATTGCGCAACGTCATTCCATATGCGGTCTTGTTATCGGCATCGACTTGCACAGCGCCCGACACGATTAGATTGCCGCCGGACGGCTTCCACATCTTGCGCAAGCTACTGTCCAGCTCGTTCCCCTTCTCCACTTTATGGAATGCTATGTCGACCCTATCGCGCAACCGGTGCTTGGTAGACGGTGGTTCGTGACGCAAATGCCACAAGAAATGCGATGCGGCACGCAAGACGGCTCGGATGTGATGTGACTCCGGAGGTACCCTCTGGCCCAGTCTCTCAAGCCCGTAGCTCTTGATGAGCGAGTCGTGGACGTGGAACCTAACACCCAGCTCGCTGCTTTCCAGACTGATATCTGCTTCGGCCTTGTTGCTCAGCAGGATCCTGTTCTCAACCCGGTGGGAGGGCTGGATCTCCTCAGCAAAAGCCGTAATGACAGGTCTGAGCACATCTGAAGGGGTGATATACAAGCGGAGCGCCTCCGCTTGACCCATGCTAATCTGGTGTGCGTAAAGCAGAGAGGAAGGCAAGTCTGGCACATCGTCGCGCGGGCGGCAGGTGAAGGCCTTCACAGTCTTGACTGCTATAGTCGTCAAGGGAGGATCGCTGGCTGTGAAGTCGGGGGAAGAGTAGATATTGAACTCGGCGCCTTTCGTCACGCCATGTAGGGAGCCGGCGTGCAGGATGTATTTGCCGTCCTTCTCCACGAAGTCGTAGACCGTGCGTCCTGCACTCGGCGCAAGGGCATCGAAGAGGAAACGGTTGCTATAATAACCTTCGCACTGCGGGTTTTGATTGGAACTATTTCTGATGAGACACCGGTACTCGAGGCAGACGCTCAAAGGAATGTCTCACATTGGTTTCGCGACGCGTTGCATGAGACCTTCGCAAGTGATGTTGTACGTCTTCATCTTGCGCAACTCGGCCAGCAGTGTCTGCGTGAAGATTCCGCGGCGATTGGACTCGCAGGCCTTTTCACTCTCCCGACAAGCAGCGAGCAATACGTGGGACCTCGTGCCGGCATGAGCAAATCCGATGGGTGTGTCGGCAGTACGACCTTTATATACAACACCCCAGATGTCCTTATCGAGCTTTGGAGAAACGACAACACCCTCGTCAAGCTCGAAACCTCGCTCCAGATGTGGAGTGGTGTGATCAGGCTCGAGTGCGCGTGTGCCGGACCCAGAGTAACAACAGTCTAATATAAGAGTCTGGCATCATTGTGAACAACAGGACCGTGTGTAGTATCGAATGGGCGCACGATGTTGTCTCCGAGTCCGTTATCTTGCTCTCCGCCTTCTGCGAGCTCATGCAAGAGCGCGGCCATGGTGCGATCGAGGATGTTACGAGACGCATCCTTCGGAGAGCCGTCGTAAGGCACTAGCATGGAGACATTGTCAGTCTCAGTAACCCATTCAACTGGTGCTTTGCCGCTCGCGCCATGTCCGGCGAAGTATATGATTATCGGATCGCCTTTCTTCACAGGGACAGAACGGCCGGAATTGGTGGTCCGGCGTCGCGTGGATAGCGCCCGAATCTGTTTCAGGATGGCGTCTCGAGTTGCATCCTTGTTGTGCAGCTTGACGATTTGCTCTGCCGGGACGTTCAGTTCGTGGTGTAGGTATTCGTACATGGACTTCGCATCAGCAACGGCCCCAGTGAGGTTATTAATGGGTGGCGCTTCTTGGTACTGGTCGATACCGATGACGAGGGCCTGGATCAAAGAGTCCTGTAGACTGGAAGCATCATCCGGAGGTGAATGGCTGGTCCGAGTCTTAATATCGAAGTAGAGCACAAACCTAGACTCCTCAAGTCGGGCGTTACTGGACCCAATAAAGTTTAGTGACGACAGGTGGTAGAGGAATATGCTCTACACTCACCCACGAGACAGTATAGCGGGATCACTGTTCAAACTTCAGCAGGGCTCTCAGTGCAGTCTGCATGTAGACTGACCTGAGGATGCACGAGACAACATCATTCACGTCCTGCTGCTCAATGTGGGCGGTCGGCTCTTCCGGATTCATCGTGTAGAGGAAGAAGGGCAAGGTGAACCCCCCGACTCAGCGGATGACCACCCCATAATATACGCGCGGATCCTAGGATCCCTTGCTTTGGGGTGGTTCTTTGTGCGGCCGTTTGGGTCTGTATGTGGGAGTCGGCTTGTACTAGTTGGGCCGGTGTGGCGCCTAGTGTATCGTGGCTTACGCCGCAGTGCCCGCCACACGACGTGGGGATACCGACGTCCACGGAGCGCTCATACAGCTGACATGAGAGTCGCGTATAATCATTTCCGTCTAAGTATGCCGCTGTAACGTTCGCCTGTAATGTTCAGCTAATCAACATTTTAGAGTTCGATCAGATGTAGCCTCCAGGGGGCATGCGTTGGTTTAGGGGCGTCGGGCACTACTACCGGTGTTGCGGTTAGCTTAGGGTTAAAATCAGGTGAATTAGCTTGGGTCTGTGATGAGGTTGCCCAACTTGATGACATGATGCTCGTCTTCAACTATGTAAGTCGATATGTCAGAGAGTTAGAGCCCGATCGCACAGGTGAGGTCGACGTTACTCACAATGGACCAACAAGAATGCCATCGCATACGCGGCGGCACTGCCAACAGCGCGTTGAAGGCTCTAATAGTGGGCATTGTGCAAATATTATCGGCTGTAGGACATACTAACAGGATTCCGGTGGCGCCTGATGACAGCGATACCCTCTGACACCCTTCATCTTCGCTTGAGATCCTTGGGAAGACCCTCCATGCGTAAGTTGCCTAGACGGGATACTATACCAGGCCGGGAAGCCACCACACAGCCTCAGGCCTCATGTCCGACAGGTAGCATCGCGATGAATGGGGGTATGGTATTATTTGCATCTGGCAGCGCCTCGACAGACATGAAGGGGTGTAGCAAGGCGTGCACCGGTTTCCGGTCGAGCTATCGGCTGCTGTCGGCCTATGCGGTGCTGATCGGATCACGGATCAAACTTCACCCCGCAGCGGCAGCGCGGAGGCGCTCCGGAGTCCGGAATACTCATGCAAATGCCTCGCGCTTGCCACCGTCCATCGTGCTCCTACTAAACTCTGGTCCCAGTCGAGTTCTCATCGCTGCCTGAAGCTTACGAGGTGACAGCACACGCAAGGCGGACTGAAATGGGATTACACGTAGTTCGTTCAGCCGCGCGTGGCCACAGGTACATCCCACACGCGTACGCCTGACGATACACATCCTCAGAGCGGATGGACAACTCCCCACGCATTCACATTGAAGATGCATAAGAATCAGGCCATATGCCAGCGTTACTCCTTGTCATTTGAGCTAGCTTAAGGCTGTTATGTGGCAGTACTTGAGTGCATCTGAATTTGAGCGATGTGTATCCAAGATGTATACTGCATCCATGTCTGACACCTCAACAGGACGGACGGCATCGAGCCTAACTTCTCTCCGTCAGACACGCGAGGCAACTGTAGAATTTGGTCAGTTCTGCCTGAGGAAGCGACAGATATGTGAGCATACCCCGTTTCCCTTAAACTGGATCCTGCAACACGTCCCACATCCGTATCGTACGGTCAAGGACAGAGCACGACACAACGCGCATGCCATCGTGCGAGTATGCCACAGAATCTACTCCCTCACTGTGTCCTTTGAAGGGTCTTCCGACTATCTTCCCCGTCTTCGCATCCCAGAACCGTATAGTCTTATCGTTGGAAGCCGAAACGACGCGTGAACCGTTTGGCGCGAATGCGACACATAACACCGAGCTCTTGTGTCCCTTCATTAGCATCAAAGACACCAGTCCGCGGTCTGGGTGCGCATCCCATATACGAACTGCCCAGTCGGCAGAACCTGAAACGATGCGCTCTCCGTCCGGAGAAAACGCGACGGACCAGACTGAACGATTGTGCCCTGAGCCAACTGTGCCCACACTCGCCATCGTCTCCGCATCCCACAGGCGAACCGCACAGTCATCCCCACCTGAGACGAGGTACTTTCCGGCCCCAGGTGAAAACGCGACGGATAAGACTCCGGAGTCGTTATGCCCGTTGAGAGCTGGACGGACTTCCTGTCCACTATCGACATCCCAGATTCGGATTGTCCAGTCATCCGAGCCCGATGCGAGACGTTTGCCGTCCGGCGAGAACGCAACGGTGTTGACGACATTAGTGTGGCCGAACAGAAATGGCGCCCCTGGCATCCGCCCCAACTCTGACTCTGCATCCCAGATCTGAACTAATTGGTCGGCGCAAGCCGAGGCAATCCGTTGCGGGCTGCCGGGTCGTTCGGGCGAGAATGCAATACAGCGGATTGCTTGGTTATGTCCCTCGAACGGCTTTCGCACCGTCTGTCCAGACTCGGCATCCCAGATCCGGACCTTGCGGTCTTCAGTGCCCGCAGCAATATGTTTGCCATCGGGGGAAAACGCAACGGAGATGGCTGTTATATGTTTGATGACTGGTTGGTCATGAGCATAAGAAGCCCTATGCACGGCCGCGAGAGAGCACTCACCTCGTGCCGTTGGATCTGTAAACTTAGCCAGAAAGCCTTGTGCAACGCGAGTCTGATCCTTATTTGCCGATACTAGATGGGGTACCAAGTTGCGTCGTGTGATGATGTATGATCCCGGTTCAAGCGTCCTAGAACGAGGGCCCGCGCTTTTCACGAGGATATCCAAGATATTGCATAGGTTCGCCGCCTGTATGTCTCCGGGACCATTAAGTGCTTGAAGCACCTCTCGACTGAGGGCTCGCCAGCCTTCCTCTGAGTTCATGGGTCAACAAGGGAAGCTCAGAAGGAAAAGGGCCATATCGCACCGGAACGCGCGTGAGTGTGCATTGTTGCAAGCAGAGTACGCTGCCGCTTGTCCTCCGGTCTCGCGGACGAACCGTACTGCGCAAAAAGATTCCCCATCACCTCGTAGATATCCACCTCCTTCCATGAATTGGTGGTCGTTCCATCAGCTTCAAGGTCTTCGCGCCCTTGCAGTTTGCGCCAGAACTCCATCTTACTCCAGAACTGCACTTCTGGTGATGTGCCATTCGAGGCGTGACGACACGCGTACGGTATGTATGGCTCAAGTAGATCTTCAGACAGCCAGACTGAGGGGTGGATTGTCTGACCATGTTGTATAATGCGCGCTTCGCCGCGGTGGGGTCTATTGGTGACCGATGAGATGATTGATCGTCAGACCCATCCCAAGATAGTACTCACCGGCGGGTCGTATCCTTAGACTTAGAGCCTGTTGGAGGGCTGTAGGTCAAGCGTAGGATAGGCAAATACTCCAAGAGTCGCCAAGTGCCAGTCAGAGATTCGTGTACTTTGATGTCCGATTCGTTCGTGCCGGCAGTCGACTTTCGCCTGAACAGATCAAAGCGCAGGCCAGCGATAGACGCCTCGGAATACATCCATCTCAGGGCCGGGCGAGCGCTATCCAGGTTTTCGTTTTCAATGTTGCCACCTCCGCTGCATAACTGTGATCAGTACTGGACATCATCCAAGGCCAGTATGAAGAGCTAACACGTCGGAATGTGTTCCTGCAAACCAGACTTCCTTTGTATTGCTGAATTTCTCCTGCGCATCGGGTGCTGGCTGCGGAGACCCTGCATCCCCGCAGGCATACTCGGGTAGGAACTTCACGCGACGTTCATCCAATGCAAGAGCATGTCTGAAGTAACAGACGTGCTTCATCCCGTCGGTTGTACCAGGAAGGAGCTTGCGGCCCCGTACAAGCCCGACCGAAGATACAGTATCCCTGAGCAGATCATGGTGTCAGACCATTCGCACGTCGTGAATCAGGAAGGGAAACCGACCAAGCCCCGACGAAATGTACTGTCACGTCGCGTGAGAACACCTCCTTGAAGCGCGTGGCTGAGTGTATCTGGCTCCACGATGTCGGTTGCGCGTCTACTGGGGTGTCATTTGTACGCGGCACTTCGACAGAGGACGGTTCCTTTCTGGCCTCAGACTCGCTGCCAGGATTGGTGTACCATTTATAGGCGCTGTCAAAGGTCAAGCCAGATACTGGAGCGTAATCCCCTTTCGCTTACAACGGTATCTGCTTCTCGTTGCCACGATCGATCAATCCCACCTACAGCGTCCTAGTCTCAGTGATGGCACAAAAGAGCGCCCGCATGACAGTCTCCATGCCTTGTTGATCATTGCCGACAATACCCGAACTTGATACGCCCCACGGGAGAATCCTAGACGCATAACAGAGACAATGAGTTCCCATGACATACAGTGCTAGCGGTGCTGCTTCCTTACCGAAGAGATATATGCGGTCACTATCCTCGTAGGTTTCAGAGAGCCAGCGATAGGCATCGAGTATGATGCGTTCGAAATGGCTGCTATGTCTGTGTTAGAGTGCAATTCGCCGCGCCGTGGTCCACGAAAACGTGCCGAGCAAACGCAAGATCGAGCTTGCGACTGATCGCCTTCGGCAGCGATCTCCGAGAAGACCTGGCGTATGTGCCTATACCGCTATTATAGTAGGTGCGTTGACGATCGTCCTTCCTCTTCTGTACCAAGCTATACAGCTCAATAACGTTCGTATTCTGTCACATGAGTTAGCAACGTAAGAACAACAACACCTCATCAAGCCTCATGGATCGATGGTAACGCACCTTCTCGCCGAATTCGTTTGAGGTGCCATCGATGCATACGACAAGGTTTCTGCCTTCGTCGCTGCATTCGCAGGTCCTACTGGTCCCGGCGTTCAGACGATCGATGTAATCATCGAGTGGGCCCTCTGCACAGACAGTTCATGAGTTAGAGCCGCTCGTACAATAGCACGATTGACAGACGACGGATGACTGTTCTGGCATATCGCACCAACACTCACCGGTTTGTACATCGGTATCAGCCCGACTTGCACCTATGGGGTTCGAGACGAAGTGGGCTTGTACTGGATTTTGTACCGTATTACTAGCAGTAGAGTCTGAACATAGGGTGAGCGCAAGGGTTTCAGGCATCGCGCATCACCCACGTACCGGGCTCGATACTTTGCGGATTCTCGTCGAAAGACGACTCGCGAGGAGACTTGGGACCTGGGCTCTGATTGGTCGGTTCAGGGCGCGGAGATTTGCCGGTCTGAGGTGCGCTGGCGGCTTTGGATGGGTTTGAGGCCTTGGGTGGGTCGTCGACTGCAGGCTGATTGGCAGGTGTAGGCGAACTCTTGATCGGAGGGGAGGAGCTGTTCCGGACGATCTTGGGCGACTGTGCGCGGCCTTGAGGATTCGTAATCGCCCATGTGCCAACGGGGGAAAGCTCTGCGACACGATGTCATTTTCGTCAACATCGGGACAGTTTGGACGTAGCGACCACCACTAACCAGGTAGACGCTCCGGTAGGCCATCGTTCGGGATCGAG